AACCATGAATTTGTGCTAATCTGTTTATTTTACTTCACGATTAGAGATATTTTTAAAGTTAATTGTATTCTCTTTATAATGATAGCTTTTTAAACAGACAAAGTCTTAGTGGTTCTAGAAGGTTGTGAGCAAATAAAACTGCTCCTGTTATAATACATCTTTGACAGGCTTCCATAGGCCAGGCCTCTGAAGAGCTAACAGAGCTTCCTTTGGATGTGAGAAAAAACAAGTCCTGGATGCACACAGCTGTCCACAGATACCCTCATGGACATGCCAGACGGGCCCTCTCACATACACATCTGTTAATGACTGGTCCGGCATCTGTAGAAAAAATGGAGCATATGGCAGTATGATTAAGGCCTGAAGGTAGGGGTTACAAAGCCTGAGTCAGCAGAAGCATCTAGAACTTGGAAAGTTGGATAGATGTTTCTGAATACATGTTTCTGGATCATCCTTTCAGGTCTTCAGACCAAATGTTATTAGAATTGGAGTCCAGGTGGGAAGGAAGGTGGTGAAGCCAGGCATTCTAGGTCTTCAGAGCATTTTTAAGGTGACTAAATTGTTCTGTTTATGACTAAGTATGATCATCTATCAGAAGAAGCCCACCCTAAAAGTCATACATCAAGTAGAACTATGTGAGCTTCTACAGTTGAGCCACCCAGATGGACGCTAACGAATCCTGATACTGCAGTGTATTGAGCCAGTATATCCAACACTGTTACAGGAGAGAATGAATGACTACTGCATATGACTGCATATTGCTATGTAGCGAATGCCCACCTGACAAAGAGAAGGTACCCAAAGCAGGGAAAGAAATCAGTTGTATTTTACCATGGTATGAGCAAGGAGAAGCAAAAACTAGTATAATAGTCCACCTTGACCTCAGGTGCCTGTTCCTCCACAGCCACAAAACAAGTTATAAGGAATCTAAGTCGAAGGAGACAGCAAAAGTAGACTCAAGTTGTGATACTGATGTGAGAATAAAGTCCTTTTGCTACTAAAGGAGTTAAATGAAAGTGGTATTAGTGACCACATTTGTTACAGGATTGGTGGGTTCTTGTGTTCTGAATCATTAGAATCAGATAAAGGTACAATTTCAACTGGAACAGGACTCTTTTAAAATTTTTTTTTATATTTTTTATTTTTTATTCTAATTTGTTATACATGACAGCAGAATTCATTATAATTCATATTATACATATAGAGCACATTTTTATTATCTCTGGTTGTGTATAAAGTATATTCACACCATTTGTGTCTTCATATATGTACTTAGGGTAATAATGTACATCTCATTCCATCATTGTTTTTACCCCCATGGCCTCTTCCCTTCCCCTCCCACCCCTCTGCCCTATCTAGAGTTCATCTATTCCTCCCATGCTCCCCCTCCCTACCCCACCATGAGTCAGCCTCCTTGTATCAGAGAAAACATTCGGCATTTGTTTTGGGGATTGGCTAACTTCACTTAGCATTATATTCTCCAACTCCATCCATTTACCTGCAAATGCCATGATTTTATTCTTTTTTATTGCTGAGTAATATTCCATTGTGTGTGTATGTGTGTGTGTGTGTGTGTGTGTGTGTATATATATATATATATATATATATATATATATATATCCCACATTTTCTTTTTTTATTATTGCTGAAAGCATTACAATGATCTTTTTTTATTACAATGATCTTGACATATCATATATCATACATTTGATTCAAATGGGGTATGAATTCTTATTTTTCCCATGTGTACAGATTGCAGTCTATACCACATTTTCTTAACCCATTCATCTACTAAAGGGCATCTAGGTTGGTTCCACAGTTTAGCTATTGTGAATTGTGCTGCTATAAACATTGATGTGGCTGGTGTCCCTATAGTAATGCTGTTTTTAAGTCCTTTGGGTATAAACCGAGGAGTGGGATAGCTGGGTCAAAAGGTGGTTCCATTCCCAGCTTTCCAAGGAATCTCCATACTGCTTTCCATATTGGCTGCACCAATTTACAGTCCCACCAGTAGTGTATGAGTGTGCCTTTTCTCCCACATCCTCACCAACACTTATTGTTGTGTTCTTAATAGCTGCCATTCTGACTGGAGTGAGATGATATCTTAGAGTAGTTTTGATTTGCATTTCTCTGATTGCTAAAGATGATGAGCATTTTTTTATATATTTATTGATTGATTGCATATCCTCTTCTGAGAAGTGTCTGTCCAGTTCCTTGGCCCATTTATTGATTGGGCTTTCTTTATTCCTCCTTTCCTTTCCTTTCTACTTTCCTTTTTCTTTTCCTTTTTCCTTTCCTTCCTTTGTTTTTGAGGAACAAGACTCTTACTGGTACTTCTTTCATCTTTCTTGTGCAGGAGACACAGCATTGACGAGAGTATCAAACTGACCTCCAACAAAGAAGGGAGCTAGTTTTTATTCCCATGGATGGGACACAGGGATAGACTAGAATCTAGGAATTTTAACTGGCTTTGAGCACATCTCCAAGGTGTTTTCTTTGTGGACACTGTGCACACACATTAACCTTGAAGGAGCGCAGTCAGTTTGGAGCCAAATGTTACATCTCTCCCAGTAGAATCTTCTTTGCCTTGGGCTAAGAATGTCCTGCAGCTGTCAGGACAACACATATGTGGGGTGGGGGAAGGAAATAAATCATGTGAGCAACAGGTTAAGAGACTGGGAATTTGCTATTTTGGTGACTCCTCCACCATTGTCCTTTGTCATGAGAGTCCCAGTGAGGATTTCCTGGCTTTACTGATGCACCTGACTTTTGAGGCTGATACGATGGTTTTAGAGTGAGCAAGTGAGAGGTTAGTAAAACTCATAAATACTCATAATAGCTAACAAGCCATTAGTTGTTGTAGTGGGGTTGGGGGGCTGACTGTCTCATTCCCTCCTCAAGAGTGTTTCTTTTTATACCTCTGCCTCATTCCTTTCTTCTTTCTTTCCTCTTCCTCCAGCCATCCAGACAAACCTGGAAGACCCTGGAATAGAGGGTGGGGGGAGGGACAGTTTTATCACAGGTTTCACTTTGGGTCGTGGGGTCTGCAGGGGCTTTGCTTCCCTCAAGGTCTAGAACACCTCATGGGTCCTTTTGTGACCTGCAGTTGTCAATCTATTACCACAATCCCCTCTGTTCTGTGTACCTAGGAGGCCTCTGTTGGGCCAAGGTTTCTTGACTTCTTTCTGTTCTTGCCTTTCAGGACATTGCTTTCCTTTTTAGGGATAGGGGGTGTGAGTGGGGAGAGAGAGAATATAAATGGCTACTGACCTCAAAATGATTATGCCACAAAAATCAGTTAGATCCACTAATTTCTATGAGGTACTAATTATTTCAGTCTAAAGATAGTGATGGTACTAAGGAAGTGATTTATGCTGGGCCTTAGTAGAGGAGGAATAAACGTGGGGAAACATTTACTTATAGATAAAAATGAAATATATTATGATTATTGTTCTGGGAATAAAATTTACATATTTAGGAAAATTCCAAGAAAAAATGGAAGTAACATCATGCTATCAAGGATTTTCAGCGGGCTGGAGTTGTGGCTCAGTGGTAGACCACTTGCCTGGCATGTGTGAGGCCCTGGGTTCAATCCTTAGCACCATATATAAATAAATAAATAAAATAAAAGATCCATTTACAACTAAAAAAAATTTAAAAATATTTTCAGTGGTAGAACTATGGGTGATACTTATTTTTACAAATTAAAAAAATATACACACATATATAGGCATGTATTTTAAATTTTCACTTAAGGAGTAGTAGCCCTTGTATCATTAAAATCCGTAATGGATACCAAAAATTGGCTTGTCAGATATTTCAATTCACTTTTTGTCTACTGTGCCTATATCCAGAGTGTGGTCCTCTATTCCTACTGTGCAAACTATGAGTGGACCTGAGTAGGACTCTTAGCTTAGTCCCCAACACAGACAGTAACAGCACAGATTAACTGTGGATTTTTCGGAAATAAAGCCAGATCTCCACTTTGACTCTCCCTTGTCCTTCCTGGCAGGTCCAGATGGGCACTGGTTGAGTAGGGCAAAACTGTTCAGAAGACATCCACTTGTCCATAATGTGAAATACAGATACCAGTTAGAACAATACCCTTTTTTCATCCTTTCAGAGCTTGCTTACTTTGTTCATCTTGAGGATAAGCATTTGCCCTCTATCATCAGTACTTGCTTATCTGAGAATTCTCAGGACATCAAATAATGAAGGATGACTTAATGTTATCTTTAGTGGCAGAGTGAACTCAAGGGGGAAAAGAGAATAAAAGGTCACCACTTTCAAAATTCCCTGGTAGCATGAATAATACTGTTAAAGTTGTTACATATATTCGCTAATCCTTTTTTTTGTCAAAATATTATGTCTTTAGAAATCATGTCTTTACTGATTAATTATATTAGATGTTTTAAAGTAGGGGTAGGGAGGCAAACTCTGTCTTTTCCAGTTCCCAAACTAAAAACTAGGCATTTGTATTCCTGTTTGTGATTCCTGATGTCCAATTACTACAAGCTGTTATTCTGTAAACACTCATTTCAGATCATCTTTACCTTTAATACTTGCAGTGCTTTCAAAGAGAACAATGGCCTTTTTCTAGTTCAGAAATGGATGGTATATAGCTGAGAACTATTTCATGTATTGGGGATACAAACAAGTTGTAATGTGATAAAAAACAAATGGGGAAGAAAATGATTGCAACAGTTTCTCTAAGAAAAAGAGAGAGAGAGAGAGAGAGAGAGAGAGAGAGAGAGAGAGAGAGAATGAGAATGAATTGTTTTTAATATTCATTTTTTTAGTTTTCGGTGGACACAACATCTTTATTTTATGTGGTGCCAAAGATCGAACCCAGTGCCCCGAGCATGCCAGGCAAGCGCGCTATGGCTTGAGCCACATCCCCAGCCCTGCAACAGTTTTTAATTGTGTCTTTTATTTGATGGGGAAGATTGGAGGGGACCGATTGTTTCTTTCCTAATTTTTTTTTTCCTTTTCTTCCTTAGACAAAACCCGTTGCATTTGCAGTTCGGACAAACGTCAGCTATAGTGCAGCCCATGAAGATGATGTTCCAGTGCCAGGCATGGCCATTTCGTTTGAAGCAAAAGATTTTCTGCATGTTAAGGAGGTAAAGGAAATAATTTTAATTTCTATCAGTTTAATTTTTCACCTTGAAACATCATTTTTCATTTCTTATTATTGTGAAATAGCCTGAGTATATAGCTGCAGTTGTATAACATACACTGAATCAGTGACCCTCAAGTTTTTCTGATATAAATGTACATTTTTAAAGTGGAAAGGAATCTTGGGCTTCTGGCAATAACTTCAGGGCTCCCTTGGGCTCTGTTACAGTAAATGATCCTTTTTTATGCTTAACCTTTACTTTTTCTTTTAAGGTTTAACCTTGACTACGTGTAGTTTTTCCTGATGTCTCTTAGTTTAGCCATCTGGGGAAGGTTTAATAATTTCCAGAATTCATGACTCCTCTTCTCTGCTCACAATATCTAAACTCAGACTACCGGTGCCCTTTTTCCTCCTTGAGTGCTAAATTTCTGCAGTAAAAGGGAAAATGGTAGAAGTTGCAGCCAGTGAGGCAAGAAAGAGATATTAGGAAAATTATTTTCCTCTATGCCATATGTCTCTACCTGTCAGTTAATAACAATATAATGTGCAAATTGGAACAATTCATCCTTATGTTTAAATTTTGTTTGGTCTCAACATGTATGAAATGCCTGCTATGTGGGACATTATATTAAGTGACAGAAAGTCCCCCTATATAATATTCTGTGTGTGCACATGATATTTTTCTTGGATCTGGAGGGATTTACAATTGGAGCACTTTACATATGTCATAGTGTAACACTTTACATATGTAAATTTAACTTATCAATGTACTAAACATTATAAAGAGGTAATAACTGCCAATTAAAAATAATTTCAGTAACATAAAAGAGATATAAAATATTGGTTATATAAAAAAGACAGTGGTAGTATGCCTAAAACCTCACTGTAACAAGAAATTAGAGTAACACAATGTCTCCTCTTGATGGATAGTGCTCAGAAGAGAATCTCTTTCTACCATGGAAAGAAAAAGAAAACAATGAATATTCTTTTTTTAAGTGTTCCAGAATAGACTTACTCAGTTGAGGAAAATGAAATCAAATTACACAGACTAAAGATAAATATTCTACCTATAGGAGATAAAGTATCAGCATCAACATAAAGAAAAATCATGTGTGAATTCTGTTAGCAAAATTTACCTTTGTGCAGTTTTACAAACACAAAATATTTCAGATAGATTCCTGTATTTATCTCTCACTCTTAATTCTTCTAGTTAATCTGATTATTTAAGGGAAAAATCTCTCACTCTTCCTAGTTCCTGATGGTCTTTTACTAGGAAGAGCTATTAATCTCTGAACCTAGAGAGCCTGTCCTACTCATGGTGATAACAGCAACTGTGACAGAATTCTACCCCATCGTAAAGGTAGCACTGGGCAAAAGAAGAAAGCATAAAGCCTTTAATGGACTGCTGAACACACCAAACGCATTAAACCCATGAACCTAAGGGTTTCTTGAGTTATGATATTTGAGGCATAGTTCATTGTAATTGTCACATTCTCTCTCCATTGAAAATGGTTAATGTGGAAGAAAAAGGATTCTAAGATTTGAACTTCTGATTTTAACATTTCTGATTTTGTGTTTAGAAATTTAATAATGACTGGTGGATAGGGCGACTGGTTAAAGAAGGCTGTGAAATCGGATTCATTCCAAGCCCAGTTAAACTAGAAAACATGAGGCTACAGCATGAGCAGAGAGCCAAGCAAGGGAAATTCTACTCCAGGTATGAGAAAAATGTCAAGAGTTTGTGCAAAAGTTCAGAGTATAACATCATATATATACTGTTTGTTTTCTACAGTCTTCATTATGTATTTGAAAGTAGCCTGGTGATATGGTCTATTGATAGCATAAATACTGTATTTTAAAAACTTCATCCCATTTGGAAGAGAACTAAAGTTAAATATGATAATTAATGAAAATAGCTAAGGTCATACAGTATTAAATTCTAGCTTCAGTGCAGAGGAAATCTGAAGTCCTAATCATTCGCTGAAAATACTCTGGCACAGAGCAGCCGTGGTGACTAATCCGAGTGTCTTTAGCTGCCTGGCATGGCAGGGAGATGTTTTAGAGATGACAGTCTCAGACATGATTGGCAAATAGCAGTTCTTGTCATCTGTTAGTTTCATTTTCACCTAAGAAACCCAATTTTCAGTTCTATCCACTGTTAAATATTTAAAGAGATACTAAGTATGAAACAAGTTAAAATTACCTTTGCAGATAGCAATTATGTAGAATTATGTAATCGGCTGGGGCTGAATAATCCTTCCTAGCAGGCTTGAGGTTATTTACCCTTCACTGGACGACTCATTAGGGGGCTGCTCAGACAGGTGGTGAATTTTAAACTGAAACCTATGCAGACAAGTCCAAGGACATGACAAGCTTCTCCCCACATGAAGGATGGGCTACAGGCAAGACTTTAGTTCAATCTGGACAGCTTGGTTTCTGTTTTTCTCTGCTTTATATCTTGTTTGTTCATATGATGATGCAAATTCCTTTGTTAATGATAATATATTTTTTTATTTTTTTAGAGAGAGAGAGAATTTTTTAATATTTATTTTTTAGTTTTCGGCGGACACAACATCTTTGTATGTGGTGCTGAGGATCGAACCCGGGCCGCACACATGCCAGGCGAGCGCGCTACCGCTTGAGCCACATCCCCAGCCCAATGATAATATTTTAAATGTCAGCAAGGATTTTTTTTCCCCAAGTATCAACAAATGAAATGGAATGTGTCAGTTTGGAATAGCTATCCTCATTAAGTAGTATTTACAACTGTCAAGTTCATAGCATCTTATAACTAATTCCAGGGTTAACTTTTCAGATAGAAGTATACTCTTTCCTTTAGTTGTCAGGATTCAGCCCCATCTCTAAACACAAACTTGACTAAGTGGGTAAAAACACTTCCTGCCTTTGTAGGTTTTTTCATTTGTCTCCTAACATTAAAAAAAAAAAAATTAAGACAGAGTCTTACTTACTTACAAAATTCCAGTAAATTATAAAATCGGACAAATTTGGTTTACAAATTTGGCATTTTTTATACAAGTAAAAGTTAAGGACCAGCTGGGTGCTGTGGCACATACCTATAATCCAGTGGTTTAGGAGACTAAGGCGGGAGGATCATGAGTTCAAAGCCAACCTCAGCAAAAGCTAGGTGCTGAGCAACTCAGTGAGACCCTGTCTCTAAATAAAATACAATATAGGGCTGGGGATGTGGCTCAGCGGTTGAGTGCCCCTGAGTTCAATTCCCTGTACCCTTCCCCACCCACCCCCCAAAAAGTTAAGGGCAAATCTGCATCCTAGACATTTTAACTGAGGATTATCTGTCAAAATTCTACAGAGCTAAAATAATATTTTGACTATTAAACTGCAAAAAGAATGTAAAATAAACCCACGCTTAAACTGAAATTAGACTTAGTATTTCAGAAAAAAAAAAACAATAAACTTATGGAAAAAATGTTTTGGTTCTGGTAATAGGTGTCCTTACATAACTGCCAGAAACTGCCTCTATAAATACCACTTCTTACTAATTTTACATACTGTCTGGTTACTTATTAAATATATAGGAGTATCTCTTAAAAACCTTAAAATAGATGTAGAGCCCTCCTTGTAGTTGTTTAATAGGTTTTTGATGTCATGTTTATTTTATATATGAAAATGCTAGAATAACAGCAATAATTCAGTTTTTACTACTATTTACTGTTGCTTAGATTTCATATTAATATTCACTGAGTGAATATTGCCCTTTGATGCATAGACACTGTGACGAATTCTTTCAACTAGATTCTTGCTCATGCATAATAAACATTAAGCAATGGGATCATTTTGACCAAATTCTGTGTCCTCTTTATTTTCTATTAGTTGATCAAGACAATACAATAATCTTGACATATCATACATTTGATTAAAATGGGGTATGAATTCTCATTTTTCCACGTGTACAGAATGCAGGATCACATTGGTTATACAGTCACGTACATAATACAGCAATACTAGTGTCTGTCGTATCCTGCTGCTCTCCCTATCTCCCCCTCCCCTCCCCTCCCTTTTAAGGTATTCCTTGTCAGGCTGAAGTTGTGGCTCAGCTGTAGAGCGCTTGCCTCGAACATATGAGGCATTGGGTTCAATCCTTAGCACCACATTAAAAAATACATAAATAAAATAAAGGTACTGTGTCCATCTACAACTAAAAATATTTAAAGAAAAAGATGCTGCTTGCCATCTTCATTTGTGAAGCTGAGTAACTTTATTATTTCCATTCTTGTACACTGATGAAAACCATAAATGCTTTTTTATTTGGTACTAGGGATTGAACTCAGGGGCACTCAACCACTGAGCCACGTCCCCAGCCCTATTTTGTATTTTATTTAGAGACAAGGTCTCACTGAGTTGCTCAGCACCTTGCTTTTGCTGATGCTGACTTTGAACTTGTGATCCTCCTGCCTCAACTCCCGAGCCACTGGGATTACAGGCGTGAGCCACCACGCAGCCAATGCTATTGTTTTAATATTAGCTCCAAAGGTTCTAAGACGCAGAAATGTATCTTCTATCAAATTTTAAAATTTGGTGGTTTTTCAAGTATATGCTCTTCAGATCTTCCTAAATTAACCCAGTTTAATTCTCCATGTTAGCTATGCTTATGAAATGTTCTGGGTACTAACTGCTGATTAAACCATAAAGTACTCTGTTTCACATTTCTTCATGTGAAAGGTTAGAAGCTTTAAAATTGCTTTGTTTTACTTTTATAGGTTGCCCATGAAGGCTTGAGTACTTTGAATCTTAGTATAGTAAAAATAATGAAGCTAAGACAAAGGAGCTGGAACTAAACAAGAAGAAAACATTCAACTTGGGTGTTAGTGTTAATATTCTTTGTATTCACTAACTCAGAAGGCCTCCAAATTTAAAAAAAAAAAAAAAAAAGGCAGAGGAAATCTCTGCTGTTTAGTCACTTCTGATCTGGGTAGAGAACCTGAAGCCTGCAGAAATTATCCTAGTTTGCTTCTGTTCTCTCAGGGCTTTTTAAAATTAAACATCGGATTTGAAAATGTGAACAGAGACCATCACATAATCGTTTCAAGTACTCCAGAATCTCCACCAGGAAATTACTGTTCGCATTCTTGTTAAAAAAAAAAAAAAAGAAAGAAAAAAAGAAAAGAAAATACATTTTAAAGTTCAATAAAAATACAATCAAGTAGCATGTCTATTAAGTAGTATGGATGTTTTAGAATCTGAAATAAGTGTCAGATTTAATATGAGTTTTTGCTTTACTTCAGTAAATCAGGAGGAAATTCTTCATCCAGTTTGGGTGACATTGTTCCTAGTTCCAGAAAATCTACACCTCCATCATCTGGTAAGTAGGTGATAAGTGCTGAACAGTATATACTGCATTTCATGCTTCCCCCAGTCTGATCTAGTTTCATGAATTCACATACACTGAATCACTCTGTCAATCCTACAAATGCTAAGATATATCAGAAATCAAAACTAACTAAATAAAAAACTAACTTGTGGAGTTAGGAAGAGTTCGGAGAACTTTTTCTGGCTTTGGGTGAAAAAAAAAAAGTGTCGTCAATTTACTGACTTACTGTAGATGACCATAGCAATAAAGAAGTGAATGCCCACCAACTATCACAGTATAGTGTGAGTTGTAGGCTTCATAATTAAATAAAAAGAGAACACGGCATTCAAACTTTAGAATAGAGTAAGGAATGGACAATCAAGTGAAGATGGAGTGATCAGTTTCTCAGAAGAAACACTAGACAGGCTCTGTGGAAGACTTAGACAATGCACAGAAATATCAACAAAAACTCTTGTGGGCAGAGTGACACTACTTATTTTATCCAAAGCAATGGATTTATTCTTATGAGTGCTAAACAAAATAAAGGACAGCATTTAAAGCTGAATATTTCAAGTAAACAAAAATAATCTTTAGTCTAAGAATGTATTTCATGGGAAATACTTAACACTGAAAATTTATGGATCCTACTTAAACTAAAAAATTGTTTTTATCTGGAAATCAAATTTAAGTGTATTTGTTTTATATGGCAACTCTAGCATTTTGAGTAGAGCTTAGATTTCTATATAAATAGAATACTCCTGTCTTAGCATGAAAGCTCATAATCAGTGCCTCGGTTTTCTATATGACATAACTGGGGGTCAGTAGGATTGTAAGGATTGGCTGCCAGAGTGTTAGAGCAAAATGATCTTGTGTATGTATGATTTCCAAGAAGCTGGAAATGAGAAAAAAATCATAAAGAGAATTATGCATCTAGAGAAAAGTAAGAAACTAGCGGCACTATGACTACAGTGTCTTAAGAACAGGATTCTTCTATTACTAATAATCATACCAAGTTCCTGAATGTGGATAGCTTTTAGAAACCAGAGATTTAGCAAAAACTACAGACTTCTTTTTAAGTGAGCAAATTCTGAGCACAATGAGAAATTAGGATACATATTGATTTCAAAAACGATGAGCTTATAACTTGCAGTAATTCTAAGATGTTCAAAATGAAGTAACAGTGTGGTTAAAATGAAGATTAAACTACTGTAATTATTATGTGAGGCTTGTATCTTCCCTTGATCATTGGGGAGAAGGTCTTCCCTGAATGCACAGAGAAAAGGAACCTAATCCTGTTCCACTCAAATGTGTGAAGCTGCACAGATTTCTACATGGACTCATACATTTCCTATATATGTAAAAGAATGTCTTCAGGATTCCTGAGGACTGCTACTAGGCTCCTAAGATGGAAAAATGCTACGTCACATTGTGATAAAGCCCCTCTTCTGTTGGCCAGTACAGGTCTTTCATTTCCTCTAACCAGACTGTAGCCATCTAATCATTTTAGCCATATAATAAAAACCAGTGCGTGCATTTTGGAGAATAAGTTAGTGTATATGTAAAATAAAATTTCATTTTATAGTCAAATGTTTATCATGACTAAAAATAAGTTCCATGAAGAGTGTGATAAAATAAAGATAACTTTAAACTTCACCAAAATTTTATACAGACACAAGACTTTGGAATAACTTCTCTGAATACCAAGAGAATAAAATACTGTGACTGATTGGCCTGGAGATGTGATCAACTGTGAAATGTATAATAAGCATATCTTCTCTGTGGTAATTTTTACATCAATAGTTCAGTAGATCTAAGGTAAACCTTCAGAAAATTTTAGAGAGAAGTTCCAAGGACAACTGCCCCAATTATCAAGTTTGGATTGGCCTATAATTTCATCTTTTTGTTTCTCAGAGGCCCTATCTATAATTCCCCTCAATCATTGCTAGACCAAGGAAATATAAGCATCTGACTCAAGTAAATACACATGGGTGTTCTCAAGGGGGTGGAAAAGGAAAACTTTCTACTTCACATTTGCATAATGGGGTAGTACGCCACACACCTACATGTATGTAGACACATCACCCTTGATCTCTGCTTACCTTGACCCACGTTCTGAGATAAAACAAAATTTACCTTTCAAAAAATGTTCCCAAGGCTCTGTACATAATTACATACATATATGCATATACATGTATGTACATATACAAACATAAATGCTCTAAGGAGGACTGAAAAAGCTATTTTCAAAGTATTTTTTCCAACTTAATGTTTGCCAAGGTATGGAAATACAGGTCTGAATTTAAAAAGCAGTAACATCTCTCAGTCAAAGAAGAACCATGTGAATCCAACATACTATACAGAACTGTGAAAAAAAGATTCTCTTTTTGATGTGTTCTGAAAGTGACCACGTTCTTGAATTATCAGTGTTATAGAGAAAACACTAATGTTTTAGACTTAAGTTAACTAAAAATCAGAACCAGTAAGTTGGAAAGTTGTCTATTTGGGATGTGGGGCCCCTGTGTTGAAATAAAGATAAATTTTAGTCCTCACTCAGGCTGTGTGTGGGGGTAGCCAAATATCTGAGCAACATCACAACATTTATGCATTTCCACTCGTCCTTTTAGAACAAATTCATCTGATGATCACAGCAGACAGGGTTTAGTGGGCAAAGCATAAGATTCAGTTCATGAACTTTGCCATCCCAGAGTGCTATCAACTTTGACCTCCAACTGGGCACCCTCAGTTTCAGAAAGGCATTCAGAGGGAACTGTCCCTTGATTGGAGCCTTACTAAGCCAAATAAAAGGTGGAAAAAAAGAAAGAGTATGTGGAAATCTATGGCCAGAAGGGAAATGTATTTAATATTGGTTAAGACCTGTTATAGTCTCCTTAGTCCAGAAAGGTACTAACAATGGTCTTCCTTTTTAGGATTCAAGGAAAATTATTCCTCAAGACTTTATTTTTCAGACTCTTCCCAGGATAACCATTCAATAAGCCCCATAATGAAATATACCTATATGAGCAAAGGTTAATCATAGTGTGGTATAAAAGCCAGGGTAGGTTCAAAGCCCTGGGCACATTTTATATTTTCTTGGCACACCACACACTGAACCTTTTAGTTACTCCATATGCATAGACAGTAAAAAGAAAGACATATTTACTAAGTAAATATGTGGAATCAATTTAGTTTATTATTACTTTCCCTTGATAGAAGACCACACCTCATCTATTATGCAAGCCCAAACTGGTATTTGTAACACTGTACAAACAGTGCCAGGTATTCGCTCCATCACAGGTTTTTGACCTTATCAAATGAAATAGAACAATTAAATGAGATCCTAATTTTCAAATGGCTGAATGATCTAAAATCCATAAAAACTAAAAAATTGAAAAATAACATGCCTATCGGATAATGTCCCCTTCTTTGGAAGGTTAAAAGAGGCTATTTTGAGCATCAATTCATCTTGTGTCACAGGAATGTAGATGTGTTGCAACATCAAGCAATCTGTTGTTCCAAATGGTAAATCATTCCTTCAATCTGAATGTACTGTGGTTTCTGTTAGAGGGCTAGCATGTATGACATTGGTGTTTTCCAATGGTAAGTAAATTTTCTTTTCATCTCCCTGATCTAATCTCAACCATAAAGTAATTTTCTAGTGAGCTCAACTCTGTGATACCCTCCTGAATCCTGATACCAAAGACATGACCCCCTTAAAGAAGCAAAAGGAATTGAAAGTGTGTGCCCAGATTGAGAAGGGACCTCAACTGGAGGGCAACATGGTATAGGGACAAGAATGGACTCACTGAGATGGGAGAACTAGGTTCTGAGTCCTGCCCTGCTGAGTTATTAATGTGAACATAAACTCTTGAGTTCAGCTTTTAAATCTTATATCAACGTCGACCCTCTTATTTTTAAGTGCTTCCATAGCTGAAAGAATTCTATCATAATTACATGAGGAAACACTTTTATAAACTCTGAGATTATGCATCCTTCCCCCATTTACTACTTTTTAAGAGTAGTATTTTCATGTTGAACGATTTCAAATGGAAGGATGTCAAGCAACAATCCCAAACCCCCACTTTATAGTGGGAAAGAGCAGTGGCCTATTATCTTAGGTCTTTGTGCCCTCCATTTTGCCTACTGGGTTATATCCAGTGGCTTCATAAGTCACCACAAGCCTTATTGTTTTTACTAGACTGATTTCATTGGGATATCATCAGATCCAGTGTTTTCTAATTAGTCTTTGATCAGGCCTTTCTGAGGGTGCACTTACCATTCATTTTAATCCTGTCCATCCTGAAACCCTCTCTGAATTATTTGCCATGTGTATGATTCCTTTGTGCTGTTTGGATTGAGGATTTTCTATTCTCTCTTTCCCTCAAATGCCTGTTGCAATTGTAGTAAACCTTTTCACATGGCCCCTATTTTCCACAAAATTAGAAATATGAGGCATATCCTGTTAAGTTTTCAATATAGTTGCCTGTTATTTAAAATATGGGTTAAGACACTGTACAAAGTGAAGCAGAATGTTCTGTACTATAGTTTTATATAGTCAATGTGGAGAATATCAACATTATACTTGAAACTACAAATTAAAAACATTTCTCAAAATATTCAAGAGATCTAGCATGGAATAGATTTGCTGAAGCAAACAGATATGATAAGGGTATCTTTCAGTTTTATCAGATTTGATTACATTGCATTCTTAATGTGCTGTACCTTTAAATTTTACATTCTTTGTGTACTGTGTTGAACACTTACGATAGCTCTTTTACAGTGGTTAGTTTATTTGCTTTCATTTTATTTTCTTTATAACCTGTTTTTCCTCTCCTGTCCACCTGATGATTTTTGAATTGTTTGTCTGTATATAGCTATAGACATAGATGCTACTGGCTTAGATGCAGAAGAAAATGATATTCCAGCAAACCACCGCTCCCCTAAGCCCAGTGCAAACAGTGTAACGTCACCCCACTCCAAAGAGAAAAGAATGCCCTTCTTTAAGAAGGTAACATGAACTTCCCAGTTCCCGTTGTCCACCTGCTCAACTGCACTGCGTCACATTTCTAGTCCTGTTGACTGTCTGTGTCCTTTGACAAGCCAATAACATGCATGCTCTGTTATTCTTTGTTTCTTTTCCACGCTGCTGTAGCTAAGCAGAAGCAGAAATCGGTAAGTTTACATTGACATAAGCTGTGTTTATCCTGCCACTGGCATCATTAGCATTAATTCCCACAGTTTTATTAAATACAGTCATTTCTGTCCTAAGAAAAGAACCTATCAACAGCTAATTGAGTCCATGCATTTCAAACCGGCTAAATTCAGTGACCTGTTAAAATACCATTACAGTACTTATCCTTTTTGATGGAATAATATCTACCACCAAGGGAATTTGTTTCAGCATTCAAAGGATGTCCAACACTGACAACTCCATCTAATGCACCTCAATTGTGCATGCTTATTCTGTCTGTCTTTGTTTCTTTCTTTTTTCCAGAAATTTAACTGATAATCAAGCATATTAAAGCAGTTATTAGATACTGATTTATGATATCCAGATACATAGCTTGTACTAAAAAAAGATGATTCAATTTTTAATTTAGTCAGTATTTAAACTTCTAATCCACTAGGTGCAAAATCTGCAGATGAACAAGACCAGTGGAAAACTGCAGGCTTGTTTTGGCGGTTTACTGTGAGTTTTTCCTATTGTCATATATAAATACTCTCCCAATGTTCTTGCCTTCTCCATCAGTCAGATTTCAGCATCTCGCCTGTTGGACAATGGGGCTGGTGGCCATGCATAGAGCCTTTGCCATTGGCCAACCAAGATGCTACGCACTGATGCTGCTTGTCCCCTGACTGGAAATTCCAGGGAATTCCTGAGCTCTCTTTACACCAGATAGCCTGATTCCTTTCAGCATGTTTTGTAGCTTCAAGTATTATTTTTTAAAGGAACACATACCCCCAAATTTCCATTTTTTCCCCTTCATTTATAAGCCACTTTCCAGAAGCTACTCTGCTGTCTTTTAGACTCATATTTCCTAAGGACACCAACCTGACACAAACATGGGAATACTCTCTGCCCCATAGTTTCTCAATACTAAAATCTTTTCCTCTGCAAACAAGTATTTTACTCTGTAGAGGAACCCTAAGTTTATTAACTTATTGTGTCATATACTGAACCCTACACTTAGTTTTTTTTTTTTAATAAATTAAGGATACCTTAAGTAGGGAAGACCTCAGAACTTAAGGCAAAACTTAAAACACCTGGATTTTTGTGTTAATACAGAAAGCCCCGACTTGATATTCATCCACACCAGTGAGCCTATCTCTCTGGTCTTATGATCACAGCTAAAGCTTTCAGCCAAGTGACCAGCAGTGTCCAAAGATTAGGAACTTAGAAAACCATCATTGTAAACCACTCTGGACATCACAGGATAAGAACAGCCACTTAAACCATGATGTTGGTCAAGATAGTGTTTGAAGTTTGCTTACCCTTAAATTTCACAACTTTAAAAAGAGCTTATCACAAATTTTCCACTAAATGATTCAAACAAAATAGGGTAAGCAGGAAAGGGAAGATAAAATAGACATATTTTTGGCCAGGTGTGGTGACACATGCCTGTAATCCCAGCAGCTCGGGAGGCAGAGGCATGAAAATCCCGAGTTCAAAGCCAACCTCAGCAATTTAGCAAGGCACTAAGCAACTCAGTGAGACCCTGCCTCTAATAAAATACAAAATAGGACTAGGGATGTGGCTCAGTGGTTGAGTGCCCCTGAGTTCAATCCCTGGTACCCCTCCCCCCCAAAAAAGGCGTACTTTTTATCAATAGGGAACAAAGTACCAATATTCCATCAAATAAGGTAATTTCTGTAGCTACCTTATTAAGAAGCCAATTGATTACTAGCATGGGAACCCTTTGCTAGTTGGCAGTCACAGATTGGAGGAACAAAAGAGCTATTAAACACTGCGCCACTTTAGACTTAAAGACTTGGAAATAAAATTTTTGGTAGCTGTTATTAAAAATGCATGCAATTTATATTCCTAATTATGATGGTGGGAAAGGTGTTCTTATACTGCATAGTTATAAGGACTTGGCTTCTAAACATTTTCAGTAATATCCCAGGTGGTATAACATAATCATTTAGTAAATATGCTTATGATGCCTTCGGCACTGGTATTCATTCTTCTTATGTTATCAAATCTGTGGTAACTTTCAATGTAGAGCTCAGGAAAAAAAAAAAAAAAGCCTGAGATTCAACAATAAGACTGTTTTCTGTGTTTTAGGTTGCTTTTAGAGTGGTGCTTGTGTGGCATTTGTGCTGTCACTGTATTATGTTTGTCTCTTTTTTTCTGTTCAAAAATGTATCCTACCTTAATTGTGTCTATTAAAATGAATTTTAAGAGCTAGGTAAAATTTTAATCAGTAAAATGTGACAGCACAGTCACAGTAATATTTTTCTTCCCCCGATCATGCTGTCTACAAATATTGGTGAAATCTCAGACAGAAACTATTGAATTTGAAATGCTTTTTAAATCATTCCCACAAGCAACTTAAATTCAAACAAAGTGAGAAAGTTTGTAATAAGCAATTTTAAGCAACAATAAAATGTTTTTCAGTGACAGGCTGATACAAAAATTACATTTGCATATTAGTTTATCAAATTCTTAACATACTTAAAAAGCATTGTTCTTTTGGTACATGTAATTCTTTAAGTATATATATTTTCATGAATATATATACTTAATGGAGAAAGGTACTCCTTAATGGAGAAAGGTACTCCTTATCGGAGAAAGAGTTATGTAGAGAAAAAATTAATAATTAACTTTCCCAGTGTCTAAGGCCATATCTATTGCTCTCCTGCATTTCTTTTTTTATTAAAAAGATTATTTCTGGGTCAATTTAATATTTTCTGTTATTAAAATAATACAATATACAAATACTGTCAAACAAATCAGTCTTAATGTAGGCAAATTAGGTAATATGTAATTATTTTGAAAAAAAAAACTGTATTTGAAGCAAGCTGAAAAATGTTGATAGTTTTAGAAATTACAACAAAATTTAGCTCCTCCCCTGCACTTCCAAAAAAAGAAACAAATTACTGCAGAAAAACATGAATTAGTTATGTAACAAAAACACTACCTAAACTACATTTGAGAAGCATATTAGAAATGCAAGTTGATAATGAATCTTTGGAGGCCACTGAAGCACGGTCGAATGTGATTACACATTAATCATCTTCCTTCTGAGACACAAATCTTACATTTATGTTTTTAAATGCCAACATATAAAAACTAAAAATCCAAAAGCATTATTAACCTGGGAACAGTGCTCATAATTACTGTTTACTGGAATGTACATTCATGCCAACTTAAATGCTCACAATAAAACAGAATTTTTAAGTATTTGGTAGTGATATTCACAATGTTTTGAAATTAGGCTTTATGCAGGTAAGACAAACATCTAGATGCAAAGAAAATAGAATTTTTCTTTTTTCTGTAATTAACATGATCATCTCAACTCTTCAAAAAACTCAAATGCATTTAAAAAGCAATATTAACTTCCAGTCAAGCCTATGGCACCTATTCTGCATGAGGCATGTTTCTGTTTGTTCTACAACTAGTTTTTGTTCAAAAGTGGCACTTTATGCTTTTGGAACTATTATGATAATAGCATTTCTTGGGATGAGCAAGAAAATCTCTGCACTATTCAGTAACGTGAAATTCAGGAAAATAAACCCACCAATCTTTGATTGGGTTTATTTAGAAAAGAGGCAAGTAGAAAAAAATTTAAATGTCTGGAAAACCAGTGCCTCATATTAGAGTTCAGCAAAGTTATTTTACTAGATGCAAAATCCTATGTTTCCCCCTGTCTGTGAAACATCTAAATGCATGTCCTCTCTCTGCAGACAGAGCACACTCCTCCTTATGATGTTGTACCTTCCATGCGGCCAGTGGTCCTAGTAGGCCCCTCTCTGAAGGGTTATGAGGTGAGTAGCAGCCTTCGCCTCTGTAGCACACTTGACCTTCGCATGTTAAACTGCTTTGTGACTCTACCTCCCACTTTTAAACTCTGGAATTTGAACTTAAATAGCCCAGAGCAGCAAAGCATGTTGTTTTTTCAAGTTGTGGTATATGTTGTTTGGTATGTTCTCCTGGCTGTTGCTTCGGATATTTCTGCTAGCTACAGTTTTATCAGTCCAGGAAATCGTATTAAATGGAGAGTAACTGAAACCATTTGCAGTCCAATTTATTGTCACTAAAGCATCAGGATAAATTTGGGGAACTCTTTTGAATTGTCTTTGAATTGGAACTTAGAAACAGAAAAATGTGGTAACCTCACATGCTTCTTTTTCCAAATACAAAGTTAAGGTAATTTTAAGAGTTCATTTTTTCCTTTTTCGTATTTTATTTTTATTAAATTATTTATTTATTCTAATTTGTTACATATGATGGCAGAATGCAATTCATTTTATATTACACATATAGAGCACAATTTTTCAAGTCACTGACTGTACACAAAGTATTTTCATACCATTTGTGTCTTCATTCATGTACTTAGGGGAATGATGTCTAACTCATCCCACCATTATTCCTACCCCCATGTCCCCTCCTTTTCCCTCCCTCCCCTTTGCACTATCTAAAGTTCCTCCATTCTTCCCATGCTGCCCTGCCATCACCATTATGAGTCAGCATCCTCATATCAAAGAAAACATTCAGCCTTTCTTTTTTGGAGATTGGCTTGCTTCACTTAGCATTATGTTCTCCAACTTCATCCATTTACCTGCAAATGCCATGATTTTATTCTCTTTTAATGCTGAGTAATGTTCCATTGTGTGTGTGTGTACACACACACACACACACACATACATACACACACATATACACCAAAGTTTCCCTATCCATTCATCTACTGAAGGGCATCTAGGTTGGTTCCATAATTTAGCTATTGTGAATTGTGCTGCTATAAACATTGATATAGCTGTACAAAATTGTTTTATCAAAGTAGTAATATTTTATCATATTTTATTGATTTCTCACAGGTCACAGATATGATGCAAAAAGCATTGTTTGATTTTTTAAAACACAGATTTGAAGGGAGGTGAGTATTTCAGAATATTGGCCTTTGTGGATTTTTGATTTCATGATAACCAAACAGTAGTGGGACAGGCATATGATCTCAAGGGTAAACTACCCACTAATGCCTATATGATGACAGGAAATAAGTTTTGTTCAAAGTTGAATCATAATCAATAAATATTTGTCATGTTTCCTTTCTACATCTGCAATCCTGGAAAATCTAGTTCCTGTACTTACATCTATAAGCTGAACTTGGCCATGACCTTCAGTTTACGATCAACCAGCTCTCATATCACTGCCCAGACATCATAAATAAATATCCCTTTTCAATTCACTTTCCTACTCTTCCCAGACTTTTTCAGCATCTCTTCTTAAACTTTCTCATGTCAATCTCCTTTTATGAACTTGCATCCTGTATCACTGAGAAAATGGGGGCAAATAGAGGAGAACATCCAGTAGGTCCCATCACACCTATCCCAGCTTGCAAGTCTACCAGAATGTTCTGCTTAGTGTTAAGATATATTCTAGCAATGGCCAACCTGCCTCACAACCACTTGAGCATTAGATTCTATTCAAATCAACTAGATCAAAAACTATCACTCCTTCCCCATTTCTGCATCAGTATTTGCTGTTCCAACGGAAACTCCATCCACATTAAAAAAAAAGCATTTTCTTCTCTCATTTGACTTCACATTCCCCTCCAACTGTCTCACTTTTCTTCATATCTTTATAGCAAGACTCATTAAAAGACTTGTGTATACTGTACTTGCTCTCCTTTTTTCTTTCACTTCTACTCCCAGTTATGCTGTCACCCACACTATTCAACCAGAACTAGTCAAGATCACCAGTGATCTGCACACTGCTAAATCTAGGGGTGAATTCTTACCCCTTATGTTACTTGACCACAAGCAAGAGATGACATGGTAGACCATTTCATCCTCTTTTAAATAGTTTGCTTGGTTTCTGGAACCAGTTTTCTGGTTTTCCTTCTATTGCCCTAGCTGCTCCTTTGTTGATTCTTCCTCGTCGGCTAGACATCTTGGAGAGCCCAAGGCTAAACCCTTTGGACTTTTCTCTCTCCCAAATATATTCACTCCTTTTAAATATCATTTCATTCTTTGCTGATATTTCTCTGAATTCCAGGCACAAATACCAAATTGCCTATTCAGCATCACCACTAAGATGTCTACTGGAATTCTCAAACTTAACCTCCAAACTCCTCAAACCTCCCAGTCTTCCTAACCTGATATAATAATTTCTTCATCTTTTAGTCTCCAAACCCTTCAGCCCCATATCACTGAATTATCCTCAACTGTTCTTTTTTATATCCTCCATCCAAAGGCTGTTGTCTTTATCTTCAAAATACATCTATCTCTAACTACTTCTCACATCTCTTCTACTCTCTATTAGCCTTTTGATCTGAACACCATAATATTTTCCCTAGATTTGTCTCAGTGCTTTTTTTTTTTTTTAATTGCTCCCTTGAAGTCTGCCCCCAGTTCAGCAGCCAGAATGTCCCTGTTAACTGTGGGCTGGAGCTCATCATTCTTCCATTCGTGACTTTTCACTCAGATTGAAAACCAAAGTCCTTTTTGTGGCCTGTATGACCTCTGGGATCTAACCCTGCACACACCCTTTATTTTCATCTTTCACTACACTCCCGCTTGCTCATTCTTCTTCAGCCACTCACTTCCTCACTGCTACGTGACTGTCCCCAGACAGCTCAGATCCATGTACACATCGGTGTATCTGTGCTTTGTAGTTCCCTCTGGTAGGAACACTTATTCCTCAAATATTCTCCTGGTGACATGTGCATATGTGCACACACACACACTCTTTACCTTCTCTGTTTATGTATTTTACCTATATATTGTTATCAGCCTTCTATGACTAGAAAAAACTCCAGGAGGATAAGGATTCTTAAAGTTTTGTGAACTGTGGTGCCTAAAACACTACTTGACATGAACAATGAATGGATTAATGCTGATTCAATGTCTGCTGTGTATTCTGTGCTAAAGAAATGCAGAAATGTTGAAGCTACTGTCTTTATGAAGGACTCATATGAATACCATAAGTTGAAATGTCTAGCAATAAAACAGTACGCTGATAAAGGGGCACCTCAGTGTGTGTAGTACAAGGTACAGGTAGCATAAAGAGAGGAGCAATTAATATAGATTTAGGGATGTTCCCAGATAGGACGGGGTTTTAAATGGACCTAAGATCTTACCAGCTGAACCAGGAGGAGAAGGGCATGTCTAGTAGAGGGTGTTAAGTGTGCAGGTACCAGGGTGTGATGTACTGTATGTGAAGTAAGCCACCTAGAGGTGTTCAAGGACCTATGCAGGGAATGACTAGTAACAAAGCGAGAAGCTGTATCTAGTATGGCACACCAGTAAGCTTGGACTCAATCCATTACCTTTCCTCCTCTTCCCTTCCATTTAATAAAGCCAATGTGTTTATTTTTTTTAAATTGATGCTTTATAATTATACATAATTTGTTCAATCTCATTCCCCAGTACCTTCCTTTTTCCTCCCTCTTTTCCTGATCCACTTGATCTCATCTATTGATTTCTATTTTAATGATGTCTATATAATCTATAATAATATGATTCTATCTATCTATCTATATATATCTATATCTATCTATCTATATATATCTATATCTATCTATCTATATATATATATATATATATATATATATAGAGAGAGAGAGAGAGAGAGAGAGAGAGAGAGAAACTCATTGTAATATGTTTTTACATGGACATAGCATAATTTGGGAATTTCATTCCCCAGGACTTCCCTGTATACTCTCTTCCTCCCTTCCTGTACTCAATATCGAGTCTCCTTCCTATTTGGGGAGCTCTTTTTGTTTTTGCTCCCCCTTCCCTACTTTCCACATATAAAATTCAACCCTTGACTTTTAGTCTGGATTATTTCACTTAGCATGATATTCCCCAGTTCCTTCCTTTTACTAGCAAATCACATAATTTCATTCTTCTTTATGACTGAGTAAAACTCCAGGTGTGGGGTATGTGTTTCATATTTGCTTTGTCCATTAGTCTGTTGATGGATATCTAGGCTTGTTTCTACAACTTGACTGTTATGAATTGAGCTGCTATAAACATTGATATGCATATATCACTACAGTATGCTGATTTTAGTGTTTTGGGATATATATACGAAGAAGTGGGATAGCAGGGTCATATGCTAGTTCTATTCCTAGCCTTTTGGGGAATCTCCATACTGCTTTCCAGAGTGGTTGCACTAATTTGCAGCCCCTCCAACAATATAGAAGTGTATCTTTACCCCACAACCTCACCAGCAATTATTGTTATTTGTGTTCTTGATCATTGCCATTCTAACTGGAGTGATATGAAATATCAGTGTAATTTTGATTTGCATTTCCCTCATTGCTAGGGATGTTGAACATGTTTTCATGTTTGTCAGTTATTTACATTTTTTCTTTTGAGAAGTATATGTTTATTCTTTGGCCTATTTTTGATTGGGTTGTTTGCCTTTTGGTGTTGAGCTCATTACATATTCTGGCTATTAATTCCCCCTTGGAATAGCTGTCAAAGATTTTCTCCATTCTGTAGGTTCTCTTCATGTTCTTTTCTTTTCCTGTGCAGAAGATTTTTCATTTGATGTCATCGCACTTATTTCTGGTTTTTATTCTTGAGCTTATTAAGGAAGTCACTACCTGTGCCAATATGTTAGAATGTTGACCCTATGTTTTCTTCTGGCAGTTATAGTGTTTCTGATCGAATTCCCAGGTCTATGATCTACTTTGAGTTTTTATTCAGGGTGAAAGAATGGGATCTAATTTCATTCTTGTTCATAAGGAAATCCAGTTCCTCCAGCACTATTTGTCTAAAAGTTGATCTTTTCTCCAAGGTTTGTTTTTGACAGCTTTGTTAGGGATCAGATGACTGTGTCCCTGTGGATTTCTCTGCATATTCTAGTCATTGATCCTAATCTGGTTTTATGCCAATATCATGTGCCGCGTCCGGCCAAGGGAGCCGAGTCCGGCGAGGGACGGCGAGGTTAAAAGACACACAGGACACCAAGGTTCTTCATCCAGGAGTCAATAATCTTTATTGCTAACACACCTTTTTTTATACCCCAAGCAGCAGAAGTGGAAAACTACCCAAAAGCAGGAGGGAGGGGGGAGAAATTTAGTTTCAACATCTATTATTGTCAGGTACCAAAACCTCCCTTAACAATAAGTCCATCAGACCAGAAAAGGTCAAGGCATTCCCGTGGGATACATATGTCTCAGACGGACAAGCAGGAACAGAAAAACCGCAAGTTCGCCATGGCCTTGTGAGCTGGCCACACTGGCATGCAGAACAAACTAGTGGAGGTAGGGCTCCAGGGGCCAAGGTGGACCTGTTGCCAACAAGTCCCCCTCTTTTGTTTTTTGCATGCCAGTGGGAATCAAGTAGCCCCTGTCTTAGGTCGTTCACAGCCCTTGCGATGCTTACCCGTCTCTGGGAAGGCCCCGATTCCCTGGCTTAGGTCGCACAGCAAGCGTGAAAGTTGCCCGTCACTGGGTACTACAAGATCAGCTCAAGGTGTTATGACCTATCAAGACATTATTGCGGTAAACACTTAACCGTCTCCACCCACGGGACCCATGACCGTCACCGCCGAATGGCAGATGTGATTGGACCAAGAGATTAGACAGCAAAGATCCTAGTACAGGAAGGCAAGAGGGAGAGGTATGCATAGAGAAAAGATATGGCAGGAGTTCTTCTTTTAAGGAGGACACTCATCTTCGGATAGGTCTGAAGTATATCTCAGAGAGGCGATCATCCATCTTCAAGCGTTGATAGTGAACCTGTATTGGCTTAGAGGCTAAGATATTAATTTGATCCTTAATGAATTGTACTATCTTATTTACAATGCAGGGTCCTATTGCCACTACTAGAAGGAGGCCTAACAATGGTCCCAATAAGGGAAGAAGATAAGGCAAAAATCCATTAAGTCCAGTTCAGAGAGGGTTCTCAAATAATTCCCTCC